CTTTTTTTCTTTTTTTTCTTTTTTTTTCTTTTTTAAAAAAAAAAAATGCTTTTTTTGCCTTTTTTTCCTTTTTTTGCCTTTTTTTCCTTTTTTTCCTTTTTTTATTTTTTTTCCTTTTTTCTTTTTTTTTCCCTTTTTTTCCCTTTTTTTCCCTTTTTTCCCTTTTTTTCCCTTTTTTTCCCTTTTTCCCCTTTTTTCCCCTTTTTTCCCTTTTTCCCCTTTTTTTTCCCTTTTTTCCCCCCTTCTTCCCCTTTTTCCCAATTTCCCCGTTTTTTCCCCCAGATTTCCTGCCGGTTTTCGTGGATCTGCCGCTGGCGCCCGAGCAGGATCCGGAATGTTCCGACCTTTGGGCCTTCGGCGCCTTCATCATCCTCTTCCTCCTCAGCCTCTGCTACGGCACCGGCGTCACCCTTTTCAAGGTGAAAAACCCCAAATTCGGGCAACTTCCCGACAAAAAGCCCTACTTCTACCATTTCCCCAAAAAATCCCGTTTTTTGGATCATTTTCCGCAAAAAAAATCACATTTTTTGACGATTTTTACCCCCAAAAATCACATTTTTGAATGATTTTTTGCCAGAAAAAAAAAATCGCATTTTTGGATAATTTTTCCCCAAAAAAATCGCATTTTTGGATAATTTTTCCCCAAAAAAATCGCATTTTTGGATGATTTTTACCCCCAAAAAAATCGCATTTTTTGATGATTTTTCCCCCCCAAATCGCATTTTTTGATGATTTTCTCCCCCAAAAAAATCGCAATTTTTGATTATTTTTCCCCAAAAAATCGCATTTTTGGATGATTTTTACCCCCCAAAATCGCATTTTTTGATTATTTTTACCCCCAGAAAAATCACATTTTTTTTATGACTTTTACCCCCCCAAAAAAATCACATTTTTTGATGATTTTTACCTCAAAAATCGCATTTTTTGATGATTTTTACCCAAAAAATTACATTTTTTGATGATCTTTGCCAGAAAAAAAAATCGCATTTTTTGATAATTTTTACCCCAAAAAAATCGCATTTTTGGATAATTTTTCCCAAAAAAAATCGGGTTTTTTCGATTTTTTTTCCCCCAAAAATCCCCTTATTTTGCCCCAAATTTGCTATTTTTTATCATTTTTTTGGATGATTTTTAGCCCAAAATTTTGACACTTTTTCCCTCCAAAATCACTTTTTCCTCAAAAAAAAAATTGCTATTTTTGATCATTTTATCCCCAAAAATATCATTTTTTGCTGATTTTTCCCCCCCAAAAATCGCCATTTTTATCACTTTCCCAAAAAAATCGCTTTTTTGGGATTGTTTTCTCCAAAAAAAAAAAAAAAATCTTTTTTTCATCATTTTTCCCCAAAAAATCGAATTTTTGGGATAACTTTTTCCAAAAAAAAAATCACATATTTCAATTATCTTTACCCAAAAATTGATTTTTTTGGGATGATTTTTTTCTCAAAAATTGCCACTTTGGACGATTTCCCCCCAAAATCTCTTCCCCCCCCAAAAAATCGCTATTTTTGAGGATTTTTCCCCCAAAAAAATCACCATTTTTGCTGGTTTTATCCCCAAAATTGTCAGTTTTTCCCACCAAAAAAAAAATCACTTTTTTTGCGGATTTCCCCCCAAAAAATCACCATTTTTAATGATTTTCCACCCAAAAATCACCATTTAAATAAAATTTTCTACCCAAAATTTGCCATTTCCCCCCCCCAAAAAAATGACTTTTTTTTTCATGATTTTTACCCAAAATTTGCCATTTTATCGCCCCCAAAAATCACCATTTTTTATGATTTTTCCACCCAAAAAATCACCATTTTTTCCCCAAAAAATCTCAAATTTCGCAGATTTTCCCCAAATTTGCCATTTTTTGGTAAATTTACCCAAAATTTGTTTTTTTTTCAGGTGCTCTGAAC